GATACGATGTAGGTGACTACACTGTGTCTTACCCAGTACTGAAAAACCATCTACACTTAATAAAACTTAAAGGGGATATAAGTTTTATCTGCTGAACTAATGAGCCAAAAATAGGAGGAGATCCAGGTACACTGGATGCTTTAGTGTTACATGGATGATTGGCATGGGGTTGTTTCTGACACTACATGACTGATTTAATTGGTTAATCAGATACAATTATCCCCAAACATTTTATTTAACAAAGAATTAATCTCCCACGAAGATACTGTGTAATAGTGAAATTGCAACTCCATACACTTGCATAACATGTAACAATATAAAGAGAGATTATGTATTTGTAGTATCATCATTAATGTTTAATACTATTGTGTATACGATGTATATCTGTTCAGTCCATATTATATATAAATATTATATTATATTATTATAAAATATTATTGATAATTATCATTATAATAGCTGTTATTAACAATAACACTACCATCATGGTCATCAGTACTTATTACCACCATCTTGCAACCTACAACGTCTTTGCACCTTACCGTTCTACTTATCTTTTTTTATCTTTAAGTATTTTATTGTATTGTTGTATTTATTTGTAATTGTTGATTTTATTCATGTTGTATTTTAGTTCTATGTTGTATTTTTAATTCTATGGTATTTTATTGTATTTTATGTACCTGGGCTGCTAATACGACCCAATTTCCCCTTCGGTGATTAATAAAGTCTATCTATCTTGTCCTGTCCTGTCTGTCTGTCTGTCGTTCTGTTGTCTGTCTGGTCTGTCTGTCTATCTATCTATCTATCTATCTATCATCTAGATCTATCTATCTATCTATCCCTGCTTCTCCACGTTCCATGCTGTAATACTGTCCAATCCACCAGTGGCGCTGTGCTTGACATCGCCACCGGCTGTTGACCAAATCAGCGGTGAGCTAGCTAGTTTGAACAAGAAGCCGGGTTCAGGAGGATTCACATCTCCTTAAAAAAAAGATCATATTAATCCTTATAGACGCTGTCTAGGTTGTGGGAATGGGTTGAAAACACTACCAGATGAGTTCAATGAGTTTCGTCGACCTATTGTATTTAACAATTAGTAAGGACGTTGAAATAAAAACGTACGTTAGTTGTGCTAACAGTTAGCGAGAGGTCGAGCTAACTGGCTAAGCTGATGTTAACGCTGGTTTCACCATGAAGTCCTCAAAGCCTTTGTTTATGAAGACCTACGTTAGGCAGAAACGAAAGCTGCCGACATGGATCTCACCTGAAAACGACAAGCAGGCTTGGGACAGCTCACCCCCGAGCACAAGGTAATGTCCCATCCTCCTCTGGGGTTGTCCTTCTTCCCATTAATGTGCTGAACACTTCTCTCTTTGTTGTTGTATTGCATTGTTTGTCTGTTTGTTTTACACTTACTTATTGTAGGGGAACTGCAGCTACATGGGAATATATGGCAAATGTTATCCTGGTAGAGTAAAGTGTATTATTAATGCGCCCCTCCAGTCAGAAGTAGGTTTTTCTTCTTGTTGCTGCAGTGTGATGTTTGATCTTCACTGTGCACATTAGTGTATGTACACAGTTTGACACTAGATGGATGTTTTCACCATCATCTGCTGGAAGTGGAAAGTTTCTCTGTGCTCATTGGAAAGCAGATTGTTAAAGGGCGGGGCCTGATCTGTGACATCAACCCTGGTTCAGTGTGCAACTCAGACAAAGTGATGTAGAAACTGCATCCACCGGAGACATCTTGTGTCCAGCAGGGAAATGAACCAGATTTCATTTTATTCATAGATTCTGGACTTTTTAATTAGGTACAATAGGTAGACGCTTTCAAGGATTTTAATGTGGAAATTATAATTTTGTGTCAAAGAAACAAACAGACACATTAATGTTCCAATCAGACTATTTGTATACATCATATGTTTATAAAAGCACAAACAGGTATTCCAACAACACTAACATGTTTTCTATTTTCGCAGTGGGAGGAGGATTAGTGTGGCTAGTCACAGAGCTGCACGTCCTGCCAAGAAAAAGGCCATCCTATGTCTGACTGAGATGAGCTTCGATGACGAGAGCATCTCCTCCCCCTTCTGTCCTCAGCCTGCTCAGCAGAGCAAGACAACCAGGTCTGTGCACAGAAATGAAAGTGGCACTTGAGCGATGTCACTATTTCATTAATATGCATTTAATAATAAATTAACTGTTTAATATTTAACCAGTTAAACTCTTAACATGACAATTATGGAAAACAGTTACGTTTGCGTTACTAATCTAATTCATTACACAAAAAAGGTTTAATAATAATTTGTCCACCCAGACACAATATCCTTGAGGTAGCTGTATTGCATCATTTATGGGTTGCTGTTTTTTTACCTACTTGCTCATGCTCTACATCCTTCCTCGCTCATCAGTTCATTTTAATCTTTTCTTTATTATTAGAAAGAAGAAGACTGGTGTTTCTGTGGCTCCTGTCCGGAGAAAAGCCTATCTGATAGAAACCAGCAGTGATGAGGAGAACATCAACAGGCCCCTCCTTCCTCGCCCTCAGCCCACTCGGCATAGCAAGACAACCAGGTCTGTGCACCAATTAAGCACAAGCATATAACACATAAAAACGCAACTTGTCAGCAAGTACAAAGTTTTTTGATTGTGTTTTTTTATGTTACTTCAGTGACTGCAAGCAAATAATTGATATTACTGGTCATAACAGAGGACTTATGCATTTCTACCCACCACTGATTGTGAATGCTGCGTTTTCTTGGGCTTTTTTAAAATCAATATGTAAAATAAAATGACAAATAACCATCAGTTGTTTCCAGAACCCAAAATGTTGTCTTCAGATCAAGTTCATTTTGTCTGACCAGCAATCCACACACAACTCAGTTTATGATATGATGCAGAGAAAAGCATCAGATCTTCACAGAGAAGTTGAGATCATGTTTAGTGTTTTGAATTACTAAACATGAGGTGTTGTCATTCATAGATAAAACTTCTGGCAGTTTTTGGTACTTTTGATTAATTATTATTAATTATTATTATAGACCCATATTCTTAATGTGTCCTAACCTTTCAAGCATTTGATTTTTAGAGGTTGTTGGTGGCAGTACACAGCTTTTATAATATCTTTGACATGAAATGAAACAGCATTTTCTAAAACAGTAGTAGAATTAGTATCTGTTGTGAATTTTATACTTTTCCGGTTCAGATTTTTATAATCAGCCATTTGTGTTTGTCAGTATGTTTCTAAAATTATCTGTTCGGTCTCTGTGCCTCAACAGGAAAAGCCGGCTTGTGTCTGTGCCAGGGGTCTTGATGAGACAGAAAGGCCAGCAGGTTCCAAGGACCAGCAAGAGTGAGGAAGACTCAACGTCTGCTACAGAATGTCACAAAAAATCAACTCAAATGAAGACTGACTCCAAGTAAGTGTTCAGACAGCTAGTCAGTCTGTTGATCCTCTTGTTAATTAGCTGAAGCATTTCTGCTACCTAAGGCCGCATTCAGACTGACTTTGGCTCTGAAGGAAAAAACGCAGCCTTCTCATTCGTTTAAAAGGAGAAGCAGAGAATGCTTGCAAAAAAAAGTTAAACTCAGATTATATTGCCTCAACTGCTATTAAATACATGCAAGGGCACATTCCTGGTGGATTTCTTTGCAACATGAACAGTATTTTGCAATGTTTTGGTGTTGAGCCTTTAAACTCATTATCTAACACCTGGACCAATGCAGTAAAACAATGCATGTCTGTTTTCAGTCTGAACGTCCCCTAATTTTCTGAAACCAATAGCTTTCTTCCGCCTCTTCTTCTTTTTCTCAGTCTTCACCCTCCTTCTGCGGGCCGCTTTGTAACCCGCCGCAGACGTGCTGTGGCTGCCAAACCCCCTAAAGCGACATTCAAGACACTGAACTCTTCTGAGGAGTTTACTCCTGGAGCCTTTGGTTCCAGTAGGATTCTTCGGCCTGCTTGGAAGAGGAAGAGGGTCCCCCCAGCATTTGTGGTGTCAAGTGCAGAGAACTCAGTGAATGCCGCGGGGACTGGCAGCTTTGCCACCAACCCCTTCCAAGAGATATCACTCAATGAGTCGGCAGATCACAGCATTGGACCCTGCCCCAGGAAGCCCATCTTTTGCTCTACACCCTCTGCAGGCCCCTTCAGCAAACGGCCGTGCCTTAAAGCCATATCTATCAATGATCAATCCGTCACCCCTCCATCCGTGTCAGTAAGCTGTATAGGTGTCTTGAGCACATTCCAAGAAGACCTGGATTCACCAGGGCAGCCCGTCGCCCCACCACGTTCTTCACCACCTACTGGGATTCATACTGAGGAGAAGCCACAGTCGAGCCTTGATGAGCAAGCATCTTCGGGTGATTTATTTGTGGAGTCGAAGAGCACTAACAGTGGAAGTAGCTGTAGTGCGGAAGCCAATAGCCACAGTGAAGACCTAAAATCAAAGAATGCTGGGGAATTACCAAGTCTAAATCTGCTCTCTACAGAGGACAGTGAAAGCAGCAGTCGTTTTGTGTCAGCAGCAGGAGGGTTAGAGTGGCTGATAGAGGCTCTGAAGGAGAAATGTTTGACTGAGCGCTGCACAGTGCAGCTGGAAAGATTTTACAACCTCACTGTGACTCAGCTTTGCAGTCAAACTACCTACTCGTCCTGTTTGGGGCATTCAAGCTCACTCCACAGCCAGCAAACAAATGAACATCCTCTGTCTGTGGACAGCGTTCATTCTACTGACCTTTCTCAGTCTTCAGAACCATTGTTTAATCTTCATTTGTCTGGGACCAACAATAAAACCAGTGATTATTTACACTCTGTAAATGGTTTTGAGTCTTCTGAACATGCAGCCTCAGTGACTGACAGTCGAAGCACTAACACTTCTCCATCAGTTGACTGTAAGCAGTCAGCTGAAACCTCAAAGGAACCCATGGACCAGTCAGCATCAGTACTTTATGTTGGATCTACCCACCACACAGACAGCAGCAATGAGTTTATCATGGGCACACAATTACCAGCCAACGGCCCCGTGCAAGCACTGTTTACTGAAGAGGCGGTTGTAGCAGTAAAGGAAGACTGTCTTACTAAGAAATGCACAGTTCAGCTAAAAAACTGGGCTTTGTCACAACTGACTGTTCAGAACCTCAAAGGGTTCGTGCAGCAGAACAATGTGGGTTTGGCTTGTGATGAGTCAGCTAATCCAGATGTAAACAAATCTGAAAATGGCCGTACACACAGCATCAGCGACCCAGAAGATCTCACATGTTCAGGAGAAACAACGGAAGGAGTGACAGCGTCTGTTAGAAGGTCATCAAATGACAGCAGTCCAGGAGCTCAGGCACGGTCTAATGTCCCAGAAACAGAAGAAAAGGCAGCGGCCCTCAAGACGATGCTGAAAGAGAAATGTCAAACTGACAAACTCATTGTCGAGATAAAGAGGGTAACTTTATCCCAATTGAAAGAAATTCTGCAGCTCAAAGACAGAAAACTTAAATCATCCACCGATGTGTCAGACTCCAGTGATGATCAGACAAAGAACCAGCCTGAGAGTAGCACTAATCACTGTAATAAAGACACTTCTGCCATGAAAGTCAATATTAAAAAAAGGGGCTCAACTACTTCTGAAGACAAGATTGCTTCAGACAACGTTCGCCACAAAAGAAAAAAGACCTCTCTGGCTCCTAAAGAAAAGAAAAGGAGGAGCACGTCAACGGACCGACCTGGGACAACCAGGAAGGCGTGTGTGAGCGGTCTCAGTGTGACTCGCTGGAAAAACAAAGACAGTGCCAGCACACACGTGTTCAGGAGCAGGACTGTACAGATGGGCGGCACCAAGGCTGTGGACTGCAGCATCAATGAGCTAATGTCTGCACAACACAAACAGCCACGGGTGAGAACAACATGCACACAAACACAGCACTGCACGGCCTTGTCAACCATTGTCAGGCAAAAGAAACATTGTGAAGACTTAATTGAATTTCTGAAATAGTTTTAATGTTGATATTTTTAATATATTCCGAGCTAAAAAGTAAGGACATTTAACAGCACTTTAAAAATGGATCACTAAATGGGCTTGTGGCTTTCCTCAGGTTTTATGACCTAAACTCCACTTTATTTGTCAAGTATTTATTGTTACCTGAGACGATCGTGGGGTCTATCCACTCTGTGCCAAAAATATGGTTTATTACACATTTAGTGAGTCTGGGAGGTTGAATAATTCTTTGAGCTAGTCAAGTAATATCAGTGATGCTGTATTCAAGTCAGGTCTAATGAAAGTTTTGTTGACTTAAATAACAAAAAAAAGAAAGGTTTTGTTAACAATAAAATAACCTTAAAAACAACATTACCCATGACTTATTTTTTACCCTCAGTGGAAATCGGTTCCTGGAGTTGACAGTATTGTCAGTGTCTAGAAGTGCACTTTGTTGAGTTTTTGGACCAACTTAAAGGATCCGTGTGTAGGATTCAGTGGCATCGAGTAGTGAAATTGCAACCATTGGAACACCGCTCCTCTTCCAAGTGTGTAGGAGAAACTACGGCGGCAGCAAAAGTCTCGAAAAACCTGAAAAGCCCTACCTAGAGCCTAGGGTAGCTGTAGAAGAGGACCCACTCCCTCTGTAGATAAAAACTGATTCTATGTTCCTTGTTAGGAAGAATTTAAAATGACCGCAGGTGGAGCTGTGGAATCATTGACAAACTATAATATCCATCCTGTGTGTAGGACCCGTTGGGAACCACCATGAATTTCTCCACCCCGATGAGAGCGAGTCGGCTCAACCTTTCGTCTCTGTTGGCTGACTTCACACCTAACACACACACCTGGAGCCGACTCAAAGCTGCCCTCTCTGTTCATCGCAAGGGCATGGGTAATACACACACGCACAACACAAAGTTGGACAACTAACATTTTTTTTAATTTAATTTAAAGTGTGTGATCTTTGATTCCCATCCCCCCTTTTCATTCTTTTCTTTGTCTCTTCTTCCTCATTCTCTCTCTTTAGTGCAACTCACTCCGAGAAGTTCACGTCTGTCAGTGTCGGGCTCTCGTGGAAGAACGGAGTTAGCGGATGTCAGCCAGGATCTCTTTGCCACACCCTTTCGGACACCGCTCCCCAAACGCCTCCAGTCACAGCTTCTCAGCTCCAATTCTCTGGTACATTACAGATAATCAGTCATGAAAGAGAACACACATCCTGCAGAGGGCCTTGTGACAAGTTCCCATTGATTAACATACAAACACCGATGTTGTACTACTTTTTCTACTTTGTTTGACTGTAAATAGGTTATTACTCTCGGTGGGAACCTCCTGTGGTGTATGTGTGTCACCTCCTCCCTCTTGTCTTTTTTTTTTTTACAGGTTGAGTGTGGGGATGCAGATCTGTCAGATGCAGAGAAGGCGTACGCTGAGTGCGGACAGAAGCGCCCTCTGCCATGGGAGGAATGTATACTCCCTCAGCGCATGAAACAATGTGTGAAGATAGGGGAGGGGACCTTCGGAGAGGTTTTCTCCACCACCAACGCCTCAGGAGACACTGTCGCACTCAAAGTATGTATGTTTGTGAATATATGTGTGCCTTAGTTTGTGTGTTTTGCCTTGGTGACAAAATATTGTAAACTTAAAGTTCACTCCTGCTTTTCTCTGCAGCTTTTGACCATATTCCATGGCCTTCTTCAGTGCATGAAACTTGCTCAGCACCATCACATAAAAATTTATTGAATTTCAGTCACATGATAACAATTTGTTGTAGTTACATCATGTGACAACACCTGAGCATATGTCATTTGCTGAAGAAGGCTGTGGGAAACAACTGAATGCTCTAGGGGAAAAGGTCATTAAGTGTA